CAGAAATAAAACTTTACAAATTGTTAATAGGAACTGCTAAGTGAAATGTTGTTGTTTTTATTGTGCAAAAATACACAACAGGCTACCTGCACTCTGTCCACCACAGGGAATTTAATCCCGGATTTTAGCGTTACAAGTCCGTAACTTACCGCTAATTCACCGAGGTCTTTCTGATAGAAAGTAATGAATATTAACTACACTATATCTACTGTATCCTTTCGACAATAACAGGGCTCTTTAGGCTAATCAAGATACGAAAGACAAAGTAATAGTTGATAGGCTATTTATATCTAATTAAAAAAACAGCTTAGGTGTGAAAAAAGGTGAGGACAAAAAAGGATTAAGCGTGTGACTTAAAGGAATGAAATCAAAATTGGAGGCCAAATTGGCAGCTACATTTATAGCATTGATAACGATTTGATAGCAGGTATTCATTCATTAGTTAGACAGGCCGCGTTTTATGCTCAACGTTGGGCATGATGGTAGGTAAAACAAACCACGTCGCCTAGCTAACTAATGATGTAAAATCGTTATCAATGTTATAAATGTAGCTACCAGTTTGACCTCCAGTTTTGATTTCATTCCTTTAAGTCACACGCTGAATAAATCTTTTTTGGCCGCAGCGTTTTTCACATCTAAGGTATTTTTGATTAGATATTATTAATTTTTATTAATACACACCAACAAACCACAGCAAGTAAGTGATACCCCATAGTAACCAACATTAGCTTTGGGATCGCAACCCTATTATTCGGAACAGATCTATACTTTACAGAACCAACCAGATTCTTTAAAATATATGATGGTAGTTTTCCTCTTTAAAACAATGTTAATAACTTCTTTTATACTAACGCCATGGAAACTGGATAAACAGTTTCTTGTCTTCACCCGCATGCACTTGGTACAGCCGTATCAAGCATCATTATTTACCCTAATTGGTTATGGTAATATCACGTGACGCTAAACGCTTTTAATTAGGAAAATTTCATAAAATTTAGCAAATTTGTGCTTAAATGTTGGCAATGAATAATCAATAATAATCATCCACCCTTATGATTATTTTGAAAACTTGAGCTAGAAACTGCTAATCTAGTTTGCTTAGCCTAACATATAATTATGTATCTGTTCATGCTTTCACCCTATAGTTTTGCTGCTCTAAATCAGCAGTCTTTAATCCGACAAAAACTAAAAACGGTTCACTTTTACTCTTAGGTGTAGCTGTAGTAAACATTTCAGGCCGAAAACTCGCGTGAATTTTTGCGTAGGTGTACACAAAACCTTTGGTCAAAATTGAGCTGTTTTTGTTGAATAACTTTGCACACGTGGCTTGTATTTAGATCAAATTTGACACCTAATTGTAGGTTGTAAAGACCTGTCAGTGTACCAAATTTGAAAAACAAAAAATCCATGAAAGATAAGCATATTTTTTTTTTTTTTGTTCAAATAAATTTTCTGTACTTTCGGTGCGAAAAAAATAAATAGGCAGAAATTGAATCAAAAACAAAAGATTTTAAATCTCGCGTATTTCCTAATGGATTGCATTGAAATTTGGTAAGTGAAGTAAGGGTCCAGTAGAGCACATCCACGGAAAATGTGCATTAGTTTTGGGTTACCACAGTCCGAGCTACAGAAAGTGGAAAAAAAATTGCTAAACTATCACTCCTGTTAATAACACACAGTGTGTCCTGCAGGTTGTTTTGGCTGCACGGCACACTACCACGTGTCTTGATCAATAAAAGTCGCTTGACAACAACTGTTACGGTGTGAACAGAATTAAGTTGATGAAGCGTAATTTTTCATCAGTTTTTATGTATGTCATAAGACATCAGAATTAGGGTAAGGAGTTTTAACACTACATTATTTGTTTATTCTAACACCATATATTATTAATTATTATTTCCTTGAATTAATCTGCTCATTCTTCAGAAGAACCGGCAAAACAGCAAACTAGTTTTCTTGATCTTGGAGCGGGTCAAACGACCACACCGTGAATGGAAGACGTGCACATTCAACATCCTGAGTGGTGACATAAGGAAGTCAGATCCGAACGCTGACTCTCTATGCCGCTACTTAGTAGGCCCTAAAGGTATATGCTAGGTTTGGTGACAATCGGTCTCGCGGTTCGTCCAGTTAAGCTGACACACGCACACACACATACATTTGTGTCAAGTCATGGTCAATAATAACTTTTGGGTGGAATTAAAGTTGTGTGTGTTGTAATATATTAAATACATTCCATTTTTATGTGAATCTTGTTTAAAACTGGTAATGACATACTTAGTATTATTACTTTCTCTATGACAAATATCAGGTAATAGTCTTTTTAAGTTAACTGGTAATGTATAAACATATTTTTAAAAATTGCACTGAAAACGACGTTTATCATGCAAGTTAAGGAGTGCTATCTCTTCTTCGATACTCTCTCTCTCTCTCTCTCCACTATTAATTAATTATTGCAAAATGACATTTTTCTTGGGAAAATACGTGTCCTAGTTTTTGGTAGTACTTGATTTCACCATCAGTCAGGAACTGTCAAGTAGAAGGTCGTATAAAACGATACTCGTCACATTAATCGTCAGCTCAACGAATTTTAAAGATACTTCTGTGATATAAGGTTGTCAGCTGTGTTGTATATATAGCTGATCCTATGAGAGAATCCATAAGGTAAGTACAGCAGACCAATTTTAAAATTAATAATCAACATAGAAAAAGTGAATTCAGTGCTAAATATCTAACCCCCATAGCTAGTGAAAAGCACTCGCTGAACAAAATTACGGAAACTTATAAGTGATATAACTTTTACAAGCCAAAGATTCTATGTGAATAACTCGGAAACCAGAACAATAAGGTGCAGATACAAAGAAGTATAGCATGCTTACTATAAAGTAACTATGGTTATATAAGCTTCTAGATCATATAACGAGAATAAGAGACGATTAATGGCGACTAGAAACGAGTTACAGCACAAGTAGTAACCATGGTTACAAAAATTTCTCAGGGATATAACTCGCAGAAACAAAACCAGTGAAGTGGGAATCCAAACAAGTTTTAGCACGTGCGCTAAACAATAATCACGAGCTTTTCTCTACTAAGTTAACACAAACACATTTTTATAGTGTAAATAACAATACCATTTCGGCCATTGTTAAAGATTAATTATCTGTACGAAACTTCTACGTAAATAGGTTTTTTTTGGCTGAAACATCTCCGAATTTAACACTTACACTAAGAAGTATGAAAATCTTTCAAATTATATCATACTGAAAACAAAGCTTTCAGAATATAACTTAATTTTATTCGCCTGTTCTTATAAGTACCCATTTGCTCCAGTTTATTAACTCCTACAAAGTGAATGACGTGTTGAAAGGAAAACGGCTTGTTGATATAATTTTTCCCATACTAGCGAAGGGAAACTGACAATTCAATTTGACATTAAACTCACGCTCTCAGTGTTAGATATCAATTTCTCCTGTGTGAAATCTATTTTAATTGCCTCTTCTGTATTAATATGGAGTAGCATACATTAATAATCTCTCAGAAGAAGGCTGTGTTTAATTATTCATGATTCATGTTAAATGCCTAAATTAGATGACGTAGATGGATGACTTAAATGAGACCTCGTGATTGTTCTACAGTTAATTTTGGTGGTAAGATGGTGGTGCATTATGCGTTTAATCTCATCATGTGGAAAAGACTGTCAACAAACACATGCACAAAAAAAAAATCAATTTAATTATCAGGTATATAAAATAGCTGATTCACTCAGACGCTTCAACAACAAACAGTGTCTGAGTGAACCTGCTATATTGTATACCTGAAGTCTGAAAGGATTGTTTGAGTGAACCTACTATAATTGTATATCTAAGCCTGAAAGGACTGTTTGTTGTTGAAGCGTCTGAGTGAACCTGCTATATTGTATATCTAAGCCTGAAAGGCTTCAACAACAAACCGTCCTTTCAGGCTTAGATATACAATTATAGGGGGTTCTCTCAAACGCTTCAACTCAAACAATGCTTTCAAACTTCGGGAATATTGTGTCAAACCTACTACGTAAACTGAGCACTGTGGTAATCTTATGTTATTAGAATTGAAAATTTAAAACGCTTTATCAGACAACTAGAAGCACTCAAGTTTAGGGATAAGATTCGGGATCATTTGAATTTAACTGTAATTCATGGATGTAACAATGATCAACCTATTTCGCAATATTAGTTTTACAGCTGTATGTTAAAGCAGCAAACTGCTTCTTACAATAATATGATACCCGTGGCTGGTAGAGCACAAATAGCTCATTGTGCAGCTTTGAGTTTAACAACAACCAAACCAACCAAATAATATATTGAACGTGTATATCCAGCAAAACTGTGCAAAAATCTATTACACCTAGTGTCTCTAACGTTTACTTCGAACATATATTTTACCAATGCCCACGTGTATGCCCTGTATAAACATAAGCAGACAAGGAGTTCTGTTTCGTTAAGATAACAGAAGATGCTTCAAAATTGGTCATGTTGAATTGAATCAAGGATCTACGTGCATATGGAGTACTGCTGAAACTATTACAAGTGTTACTATCTTTCCATAGCAATAAAACAAACACATGGACATTTTCACTCTGCCAACACACCCACCAAGTGGCTCAGTGGTAAGTCTGTAGGTTTACAACGCTAAAAATCAGGTTTTGATACGCGTGGTGGGCACAGCACCGATAGCCTACTGTGTAGCATTGTGTTTACTTTAACAACAAACAATCTGGCAACAATCAGTCAGTCTGACTTAAATAAGGAGAAAGATGTTATCAATCTGGATAAATAATCATGGTTAAAGTAATTTGTTAATTGATAATTCCAGTTCGATCACGTCCCAAACGACCCGTTTAATAAGTAGTTGTTCCATATAAACAGCTTCGCGAAACGAATGTCTTTACCATCGGCTACTAAAGAACCTGGTTCTAGACAGCGGCTCTTATAATAATTAAGAAAGGATAGGGTTACACTTACCAGGAAAGTCTGGAGAAGGAACGTTGACACTGGACACGGCGCCGCCTCCCAGCGACACGATCAGCATCAGTATAACCACCAGTTGATACAACATCGTTGAAACAAAATTCACTAGCAGATTACAAAAAATTATTGTCTTCTAACACAACTACAAATGTGCTTCGTTTAATAGCACAAAGTTTCGTATTCAACTTATTTTCAAATTTGTATTTCGATATGTTAGAATCATGTAACATGCGTCAAGTTTGTACAGACTGCCAGAGAAAGTACCGGCATGGAAACTAGTCGTTCCCCTGGCCGTGCACTTACTGCCCTGCCTACTGGCTAGCTGCACTCGAGACACAGGTTGCAGAAGTCTTTCTCACGACCGGCTGGCACTCAGACGTCAAAGCGTTGTGCCTTTCCTTTCGGAAACAGATGAGATTTGTACGAGATGGATTGTTGCGTGTAGCACAAGTTACCCAATCTGTATAGGCTTTCCGTGCGAGGGCGCTGCTGTTTTACAACGTCGTAGAGTATCACACGCAGGTGGACAAGCATTCATCACTTTTTAGTTTCCTATGATGTTTAACATAGTGAATTTAAAAATGAGCAAGTACAGATATAATTGGGGATTTACTTTTAGTTTTTAGAATAACAGAGAAAGTTAATCCCTGCAGCAGACTAACCCTAGTTGCCAGAGGGTCACTAACCTATTTCATGCGACGGTACTACACTGTCATACCTACTCCACGACAAGACCGTAGAGCCATGGTGTTACGGCGTGTCTCGTTACTTCAGCTTGTGACCTCAAATGCCCGTGCTTCACGCGCTCATTCTCACATCACAGGAAGGATTTTCGTGCGGGAGCATCCACTCACGGTGGGGAGAAAGGCTTGGTTGACAGAAACAGCAATCAATCATGGTTTAGAAGTCGTTCGCTTAGGGAAGCCGACCCAAAACAAGAAGATCCATAGAAAACCAAACTGATGAAATAAGAGCCACCAGTGATTGACATCCACAAAATGGACGGAGCCAAACAGGTCAGTAGGAGTGGCCCGAACCCGCCAGAAACGTCTGCAATGGATTTATTTATACTGCTTTGACCCATACAGTTTCAAGTGTAGTAATCTCGTGTACGAGGGTGGGTCCAAAGTTCGTAAAGAAAATTTTGTACTTCACTATGTTTTATCGTTTCCATGTACTAATTATTCTAAATGTTTTCTATATTTTTATGTCTTTATTAAACAACATTCCCCTAATATCTTGTCACTAAGCTTACAAAAAAGGTGGTAATACAAACACACATACACATGTATATATAACTTCTAAAAACATTATTAGTTTATAAATATTATTATCGATGGATATTGGTTTTTTGATTTCTTTCTAAGATGTAAAAACGACTGACCAAAATATAAACTTAACCAAAACTTCGTTTTTTTTCAACACTTGTTTTGTTTTGTTTTTGTGTATTTTATATCTGTTTGTTTGTTTTATTGCAACGCCTATTTTCAATATTTTGATGCTCCCTAATAACATAGATTGAAATTAACCACTTCGCAGTTCGTACGCCTTTGAACTATTAGGAATGAAATGGTTACCGTTCCTAAGTAACCGAGAAAAATTGAAACCAAAAATTGGATGGCAAATATATTTATGTATCAAGTGTACTTAGGAAAACTAATGTAATCAATAGGAAATTACGTGTATATATATATTGTATATAAATTTGTACCTATATATGTGTGTATGTAATATATGGATGCATGTGTAGTTAAATATATATATATATATATATATACTCGAGCCTTCAAGAAGAACGGCAAATTATTTTTAGTAGAATAATTATGAATATCAATTATTCAAACTATCATGACGATGTACTGTGTAACTGAATACGTAATGTGTGACCGAATGTTATCATTTTGTAACAACACCCTTAAGGTACACAAAATTCACTGCACGAGAAACGTTTACTTTTAAAATGTGATTTACACGTAGCTGTATAAAAAACACACACGAATAAAGATATTGTTTAACAAGAACATGTATTGCTCAAAAACAGATATGATTAACAAGTATTTTTTGCATCGTTACTTCTAATTGGTAGTTTTAATTATTTAATCAAGTTGACTATTTTTAATTCCAAATTCATGAAATTTTACCATGTATGAAATACTTGCGTAAGATAATAACAGCACTTAGTGAGATACGTAATCAGCCAACCGTAAGAAACGTTACATTCTCATCTAGGCTGTACTTAGGGTTTTTTTAAAACCTTTAATTTATTTTTTGTAGTTTTTAATTGGTAGTTATCTCTGTCCGGTTCTTGTACATGTGATTGAACTTCTTATTTGTAGTTCTACTTAACTTTAATACTGGATTATTGTATCTTATTCAGTACGAAATTTAATGTTATGCCACTAACAACGTAACCATGTTGAATCTCAACGGTTAATATCCTGCTTCCAGGAAATCGCTGATTAATTGTTTTGTAGAAATAATTTGTTGTGATCGATTTTTTTATATCGTTACTTTATTATGTTATCCGTATGCAGAGTATAACGATTCATACGTATTTTGTAATAAATTCTTTAATTCTAAACCATTTTGAACTTTTAGCAGCCCTTTGGCTGAGCAAGCTGTTCTGATATTCCTTTTATAATCTCACAAAAAGTTAAATTATGATGAAATTTTTTATTTATCTAAAAAGGCCTGAAAAAAATGGGAGGGGGATTTTGCTTTACTTCAATTAACAGGTGATATCTCATAAACATAAAAAAATGAGGCGGCTTTTCATTACTCACATTGTATTATTTTATTCGTGTGCTGTAAACGTTTTACTCTTAACTGTGATCAAGAGTAAATATTTGTTTACAGCTAAAAAGAAGTGGGTAAGTAGACGCAGATTGAATTCATTCAAGTTGCTTCATCTAGCCATCGCTAGAAAAATTTCCGAGAGATAAAGTAAGAATCCGCTAGTTGTGGTCGCTAGGTGAGTGCGTAGCAAGCGCTCAGTTCGGCGTTCACTACTGCAGTTGGAGTATTCAATACTTTTTAAGAGTTGGTTCCCTTAGCGATGAATAATGGCGAAATACTATTGCCGTAGGAAACAATGTTTTGAGTGTTCAAGCCATTTCCATTTCTAGGGGAGTCTGGGGGCATGTCCCCCAGAAATATTTTGAAATTTTAATGCTATGAGATTGAATCTTGAGCAATTTTAACTACAAATAGTGCATACACACAACGTAATGTATTGAATTAAAAGAAAAAGTTTTAATATATATATAAGATGTAACTACTCATGCCTTGAAAAAGTGGTCAGACCATGGCCTTACCGCTTCCTACGACCCTGCGAAATACAAGTTATTTTTGAAAGCTATTTTAATGAATATTTTACATTTTTTGACGCTCAAACTACATGTACATTGTACTTTCCTTTTCGCGTTCACACAACTAAGAAAAAAGATTAATTGTATCAATTTAGTTTCATTGCTGAACAAAGACTGGTGGTAGTGAAATTTTAAAATTTTCTGGAAAATTTCACGTGGTTTTAGAATCAAAATTGGCAAAACTGGTGAATGGAAATTTGTAAACCTGTTCTAGAGGTGCATTTACCACTTTCTAAAGTAAAATCTGGAGAGAAACATCCCGAGTTTGACAAGTACACAATTGTTGATGCCGTATACTTTATTCAAGAAAATAGCAAAGAGACATTTGACCAGTACCAAGAAATGCATGTCAGGAAGCTTTCGCAAACAATACATATTAACTGCAACATCATACAATTTCTTGGAGATAAGCATAATCACGATGATACCAGTAAGGAAGCTGAGAGACAATGAAGAAAAGCAAGGAAAATATAAAAAAGGGTCAGAGGAGTAATCAAGACACGTCAGTTTTAAAGGTTTGTAGCGTAAAAAAAGTAACAATATGAACGTCCACTAATTCCTTTCCCCAGTAACCACAGAATACTACCCACCAACTCCCTGTATCCGTCTGATGGCTTCACAAATAAGACATAGAGTGCATGTTCATCAGGTTCAACTCTCATTCCTGATCTCATCTGAGACCTATGAGGGGTGTGATACACGAATTGTGATGCGTATAGTGTTTAGAAACTAAAAGTCCAACGTGTCGTGGTGCACGACACTGTAATAGTTGTTATGCTCACCTCTTATATATACATCTACACTGATGAATAGCTTTGAGATGTGAGCTAGAAAGTCAATGGGTGCCTGTTCATGGGTTGACAAAACCGTACTCGTAAGCTTTTCCTGTACGCCTTCTATGGTAAAGATGACACAAAGTTCACATATGGGATTGGCAATGCAGGAGATTGTGAACTGCTAAACATATAGCACCATATTCGATGACGAGGAACCCACTTTGAGACTAATAATGGCTGGAGACGGCTTAAATGGGTAATGAAGAAAAACTTTAATATAAGTTTAATATGACAGCAAATGTACA